TTCTGACGATTCTCTAGGTTCACGTTCCTACAACAATAGATATCTTAGAAAATTATCAGGAAACTATAATTTGTTAAGCCACCCCCTGCAGCAATCAAAACATTCCATTCTCATCTATTCCATTCCAATTCCAACTTTTATTCTATTAATGCCACACATCCTACATCCTGACAATTTTTCCCTAACAACAATACACTTCATACCGACACTAAACATATCAAAAATAATTCCATCAGCCTCACCCAACCGTCATTCAAAAAACTTCAAAATCGATTCCTTCGCCACTCTCTCGTCAATTCCCCCAAACCACAAAAATTCCACAAAAATTCCACGATCCAACGATCCTCCTCGTCGTTTAAAACCTAAACTCCCGACGGTACACGCGTAAAAAGAAACGCGCTCGGTGCCCCGTTCCTCGCCCCCTCGAAACGCGAGCTCCGTAATCCGTTAATCACAGTAGACGCGGAAGAGGGTAGGAAACAGGCGCGTAATCTAAGAAAAGGCGTCGGAGCATTGGCGTCAGTGGAAAGTGGTTGTAAGTGAATGAAAGTGGATGCAAAGGTGGAGGTGTGGTTGCTACGAGGTCGTCCGCCTAGCAAAGCTGGCATGATGCGGCACGGAAGACAGAGGTTTGTCTGTCTTTATCAGCCAGCCAGGTAGAGCCCTCGAAGTCGGGCGACGCGTCTCTATCGCCACCCCTCGGGAAAACCCCGTGGGGCGACGGACAGCCCCGATTGGCGTGGCTCCCTCAAACGGGGGTGGAAATCCCGCGTCCCTATTGGCTCCGCGCGAATCCATACTCGGTATTCATTCGCTGGCTTATTCGTCGACCCCTCGATTTCTACCCTCTCTCGCCCCCTCTGCACGCTCTTTTCTCTCCTAAACCCCCGGCGGTAGCCCGATGCGACTCACCCCACGCGCGCCGCGGGAATCTTTTCAATGCACTTCACCGCCAGCTTTCACCTTTCGCCGGATATTTCTAAGTAAATATTTTTTTAATAAGCACGCGCGTACAGCGCTAGTCGTTAATGCGCGGCACAGGTAATGCTATTTCGCAACGAATTTTTCCAGGTTTCTGCGGGCACTGTATATGTGGTCAATATGTGTGTTTGTACGGAGTTTTGCAGCGGGGAGTTTGGGAATTTTGGTTTTTAATATTTGGGAGATTATTTGGAGGATTTTTAAGGGTTTTTGATTCGATGTTTGTTTAATTTATATTGAGGGGGTTGCGATGAGGTATTTTTGGAAATAATTTGGGTTTAATGTAATTTTTAATGGCATGCCTAACGATTATGTTGGTTAATGTTGGATTAATATATATAGTTTGTTTCATGAGTACCTTGTGTGACTATCCATGAAATTTGTATAAATAAAATAATATATTTGTTGCTTAGCATTATCTTCTAATAGCATGTAATGTATCACCAATTAATGTTAGATGATTTAATTTTTGGATATGTTTTAAAGGATCGAAAAATAAGATATATGTACTTTTTTATACCGGTCCGTTTTCATATTTAGGGGATGAAATAAGCCCCTAAAGTTTTAGCTGCAATAGGCTATCTCCAAAACTATCATGTATAAAGGAAAACTTTAGAATGCATTAAATATGTACATCTCCGAATTAATTGAACGTTTACAATGCATATATTAACATTCAGTCTTCGATTAAATATTAATAAGAATCACGGTTCGAAGTAAGTATTCATCGAACACAGTAATCGTGAGAAATTTTTCTGCATCGTTACATCTGTTAGCTGAAATAACTAAAAATTAATTTCTGACAATAGTTACATTAATTATTAACAATATTTGTTCAAACAATGACCGAGGATATGATTGATCTGTAATATTACACTGCGAGGACAGCGGTAGATGCTTTTTCTAAAAATGTTCAAAATCATTACTAACTAATAGTTTGTGATTTCAGTCACCAATCAATTACGTTTCTTTTGAGATACTGGACCACGTAAGTTTTGTCCTCCTGGATCGCTGAAGTATTATACTGTGTGAAGGTTGGAATTTGCCTTCAAAGCAGGAGCGGTTTATAATATTAACAAAATTGTATGTGGCATCGTTTGTAGAGCAACAGTCACGGCGTTATATATGTTGGTGATCGGCAATGTAATAAATCATTTTCTCGATTGATCTCGACTGTTACAAGTAATCTCGATCTCGACTGTTACAAGTAATCTCGATCTCGAATCACACCTCGAAATCGAGACGAGATCGATACGAGATCGAGATTGATCTCGTCTCGTGCGCGTCAGTAACCAATATACAAAAAATACGTACATCTTATTTTTCGGTCCTTTAAACCATATCCAAAAACGGACACCTAAAAAGCGTTTCTTGTCAGTATAGCGTTAATAACTAAAAATCCTTGTAGAATGAACGCAAACGAGCGTCTCGGTTCGTTTCGGAGCAGCTCCGAAACTCATCATCGGTGCGCCCTGAGAAGAGACGCAGGGACGAGGAAATCGCGATCTCGCGATCCCTTCGAATCTTCTCCCCCTCTCCTCCGCCTCCTCCTCCTCCTCCTCCTCCTCAACCGTGTCTCCAACCCCTAACCCAAGAAGGTGGCGCAGCCAGGGAAGAAGAGATCGATGAAAAGTGTCGAACAAGGAAGCTGGTCGTCGCTCGCCTGCACTTTTAACGTCGCCGCGCTCCGTGTCGCCTTCGTCCCGATGGAACGAGAGGACAGAGAGAGTGAGAGTGTGTGTGTGTGTGTGTGAGAGAGAGAGAGAGAGAGGGGTGGAGAGAGAGAAAAAGAAGAAGGGAAAACGGGAGTAAAAAAGGTGGCCGGCGCGGAGGAAAGACGAGCCAAGAGACCGCGACAGAGGAACAGGGATGGAGCATTCCTTGGGGTGTTGCGGCTCATGATCGTGCAACTACGTGGGCGGTTTGCTCATTGCTCCGCCCCTGGTACCGCCCCATTGGTAGCCCCTACTGCCTTCGGGGGCAACGTGACCTCCCTTCACCCTTCCGTCTGCAGCTGAAACCTTCGTCGGGTTTTCGCCAGCAGGCCATCCGGCACAAACGTCAGCAGCGGCAAACGGCGCCACCAACGGATCGTTCGCGATCACCGTCGATCATCCGAGGGAACCGCCGGTGCGATCATCGCGAGGGATACTTTTGCCGACGATACGTCCAGTGATTGTGCGTCGGGGGTGATATATCGGCTATGACGTTTCCGGGGACTTGGTGAGAGTGGTTCTGGGCGCTCAACGCGCGAATCCTCCGGTGTATCAGTGTTGTTTATCGAGGGACACGGTTCCAGAGATAAGTGATCCCTTGGGGAGGGTACGAGGACGTCGGGGTGTCGTCGGGAATCACGCCTTGGGTTACGAGACCCTGGCACCTTTAAAACTCTGGTTTATGGGACTCCAGCTTCTCTGAAGTCTTTAGATTCTCTAGTCTCTAGAAGAGACCTCTTCTTTGTATCTCTAGCTTCTAACATTCAACCTTCTAACATTCTACCTTTGGGATGTTGGAGTGATTCACGGTTACTAGTTCGTCCAAGACCGCGATGTCCTAGTTCGCGATGAGCGCAAGCAGAGCAGAGGCGGAAGGGTCAATTCGCTGAAAGGTTCATTGCCAAGCGTCGTTCCCAGTGGCAATGGCGCGCGGTCCAAGTGCGAGGCGGATGTGATCGGTGGATTTCGATGATGTCGACGGACGTATCGAGGGACTTTGACGTATCGATGCCCGTCGCCTGTCGTCATGCGGATCGAAGGCTTCTGGAACTGGTGACCCCGACGCAACCGTCTCACGTCGCGATTGCAGCGTGAACAGCGAGAATCGAGTTGTCAGGAACCGACGCCACGTCCCGACGAGATTTGAACTCTGTCGTTTCGGAGTAACGCGCGACTCGGGGGTTGGTGACAGTGTTCAGGATTATCGGAGGGTCGGAACGTGCAAGGCTCGACGGGGGCTGATTAGTCGCCCTGATAGGAGAAGACGCTGAGAAGTTTGCGAACGAAGAAGATTCGTAAGTAGCTATGTTGTTTATTTGGGGGACTTGTGAGATATGAGGAGAGATTCTGTGCTGGATTCGTTTTGGGGGTTTATTTGGCGAGGGTCAGGGGGTGGCGAAGAGGATTCGTAGGGTAGTGAGTGTTATTTTGATTCAAAGAGATCTTGGGAAATTTAATTGTGTTTAATTGGGGATGGCGAAGAGGATTCTTCTAGGTGTAATAAATATTATTTTGGTTCAAAGAGATCTTGGTCAATTTCGTTGCGTTTAATTGGGGATGGTGAAGAAAATTCTTCTAGGTGTAATAAATATTATTTTGATCCAGAGAGAATTTCGTCGTTTTTAATTTGAGATGGTGAAGAAAATTCTTCTAGGTGTAATGAATATTATTTTGGTTCAAAGAGATCTTCGTCAATTTCGTCGCTTTTAATTGGGGATGGTGAAGAAAATTCTTCTAGGTGTAATGAATATTATTT